ATTCTGTGCCAATATATGTCTGAATTTATGAAAACCGTGTTAAAGACTTTGCACCAAAATAGCGGGCATGTTTTTGGAAAATCGGTCAGATATATATGTCTTATTAGATGTTTGGTGTGTAGTATAGCTGTATATTTTTACGAGTTGTGCCATATTTTGACGAGTCCGTAGGGCGACCCAAAATACAAACAACGAGTAAAAATGGAAAGCAATACTACACACCAAAACATCTAATAAGAGATTTATTATCCAACGTAACTGCTGTAGTCAATAAATTTATCAGTGAAATAGGGAGAGTGTGACAGTTTCGCGTGCGCGAGCCGACTTGTCCGGCAAACAGGTTTTCTACTTTACAAATAACTGTGCAATATTAACCTCTTAATAACCGAGCGCGAGGGCCGTACTGGGGAATATTGGTCCGAGGTCGTGGCATGCAGTACGGACCGAACTCAGCGAGGTCCGTACAAAAACGACCGAGGGCCATAATTCCCCAGTATGGCTCGAGCTAGCTAAGTTAGTAAGTAGTTTATTATATGGCACTCGGGCCATTCTTGTTTTGAATTTGCCGGCTTTCAAAGACAAAAAATACACAGCTGATGACCGTTTCCACGGAAACGGTCCGTATGGCGAAATCCCGACCAAGAAAGAACCAATCAGAACGCTCGGATTTACCTCAAGACTACTTTGCCATATAATAACGCTGTATATTTGTGCTGTTATTTGGACGGTATTCGCTGCAGTTGGATAATAAAACATCGTAGTCGTGTTGTAATTCGTTCTGGACCACAGGTATAATAAGAGCTCGGTTGCCGAAAAATGATTTTAAGAAAAGTCAGGATCCTCAATCATCCAACATCGTGCTGTGAGTCGGCACTAGAGCACGACTTTAACACAGAAAGCGTAAATAACTCAATCCTTCCATCATGGATATTAAAAGACGTTTTGTTTGGAATAAGCTTATATCTTCTTGCCTGTTGTATCTTCTTGCCTTCTTGTTCTGGCTCAAAATCTACTGTATAGTTTTCGATCCTATCGAGATATTTGCTTGAGCCTGCATAACTTGTCCAATATATCATGTAAGAAGAAACGTTGCTAATGGCTTGGTTTTGAAATTCATTTTATGCTTCCTACTTCCTACTTCCTTACCGTTTAGACTGCTATATGACGTCATTTTCGAACGGAATAAAATTGATTATTTCTTCCCAAGAGGGCACGGTAACGAATCCTGCAATCTGATTGGTTCGGTCACGGTAACGGCGGGAAACAGGGCGGGTGAAATAGTCGTGTTGGTCTAGTTTTCCTGAGTGAACCGGCGGTAATCGTCAATCTCTTGCCCTTTTTACATTTCCATCGACGATTAATCAACGAGAGTTTAGCTCTATTCACTTTTAAATGGCAAGGAAAGTCACTGTAAGTAAATTCAATTGAGTATTTTGAAGTTGTGAGATTTTGTTTGGTTGTTTGTAGCTCGGCGCTCAAATGGCGAGTAATCCTGTGTTTCTCTCGCCGCACAATTTTAAGCCAAAAAAGTCAATTGCAGTCGAGTTTACCTCCTTGATCGTTGCTATGTATTTAAGAGAATTTCTGTGGGATACATTTCACGAATTTCTTCGCTTTCTGTTACTCAATTTACGGTAATTTAGTCCGATTTCGAGTGATTCGCAACGATTGTTAGAAATTGTTTTTGTGACACAACTTCAAACTTTGCTCGAAATTCTACACCGGGAAAACAGTTTTGGAGAACTTAACTGGTGAACTAGATGAAACTAGCATAAAGTAGTTCTAAATTAATTTGTTCTTTAATACATCTTTCTTTGTCTAGTATCTGAGTTACTTACTCGTGCACTCGTTAGATTTTTTGCGATGGTTTGTACAGGGCACGTAAGCCAATTCAATGACAAAGTTGCGTAAACAAACCTGCTTGTAAGCCAATTTAACGCAGGAAAAAAATAAATATTTTATTTTACTTTTGTTATTACAATTGTAGGGGAACGGCGAATTCGCAAAGTTAAATGACTATCGAACGAGTTGGTGCCGGAGATCAGAGGACGAAAGAAACAGCCAAGAGGAAATTGAAATTTTCCTCCGCGAGCAAAAAAAGTAAAAACACGACGAAGAGGACAGTTGGTGGCATTATGAAAAACGTTTTAACGTTATTTATCGTCGATTAAGTTAACAAGGGGAATGTAGAAGTTTTTAAATTACCCGTAAGTTCACCTGATTTGTGCGTTTGGAAAAGATGAATGCATGGCCAGATAAGTAAGGTCATCACCGGACGGCTTTTCTGTTTTGTTTTTGTTTTTTTAAGCTCATTAACCTCGATCATTCGGTCTTTACGAGTTAATCTCAAACCGAGACCTTGCCGTATTTACCGAGTGATAAAGACCTCACTCTCGATTAAGAAGTAGTTAATATTTTTGCGCCAAATGGTGACTTTTGTTTAAGTATTCACCGCGCTAGGCGGTGAATATAACATTTCTAAGCTTGGTGACTTACCTCGCCACCTCTGTCATTTTAGCAAGTAAACATGGCGGACGTTGTTGAATGAAATTTTTGTTTATTTGAAAGACATAGCCCAGGATATTTGAAAGCATGGGGAATTTTTTTCGAGTACTCGTATTCAAGGCACCTAAGAATCGTTAACGCATTGGTTTCGCTCAGGTGAACGCCAACAGCGTTTTGCTCCTCTCATATTCCAGTATATAACGTAAGAAGTAACAGTTTTGATATTTTGTGGGGTAATCTTTAAACTCATTTTACGCTTGGCGGTTCGACTTGCTTTCCGTTTCGACTACGCAATATATGACTTCCCCTCTGAAGAAAACAAAAAATTCTTTCTAATAATTATAACTACAAAAAATATTATCATAATTCATGATGATGTTTTTGCCGTAATAATGTACCTCAACGTTAATTCTCTCTTTTGATCGATGCTCGAGTTTAACTCTTGTATGCTCTTCACATTCTTTCTTGTGCATCTCCTAAATATAAACATTTCCTTGGAATAAAGTATTTTTCAGGACTCAAATAAGCTCCTTGAATAAAGATGAGTGGTTCAAGGAATAAGAAACGAAGCTTTCAGGATTTTGCTCACTGGAGAAAGAAAAACGAGCCAAGGCTCATCGAGAAAGGTATCATGTGCGTTAGTTTTGAAGTCGCGTAAGACCCTTACCTTGTTATTCGGGGAGGATACAGGATTTTAGAGCAGGGGTTTTGAGATACGGACCACCGAAGGCGTTTCTGTGTAGGGGTATCCGGGGGCATTCTCCCCCGGAAGATTTTTAAAATTGAGGTCCTCGTAAGTGGAATTTCTGGCAGTCTGAGGTCAGACGTGTTATAGCGTGTTATAATGTCTCTTTTTTTTTGTTTTTTTTTTTTTAATTTAGGGGGTTAAAACACCTTAGGGAGGTGTGCGCGAGTTGATTGTATGACAGAAGGGAACATTACTTGTTCCAGTCTAATTTCAACTTCTTTTTTCCCTATTAGAAGCTGATAACCTGGACTGACAAATTAGTCATTTTACACCTGACCACTGCGAAATTGCTATATGAACCTGGAGAGGTTTAATTAAAATAAAAAGAAAAACGTTTCCAACACGAAAAACACGAACCTACTTACCTAATTCTTTCCATGAGATTAATTCAAAATAACCAAAATGCAAAATGTCTTTGGAACAGAATAAAACAGAGAGGGATTTGAACCCATTTTTTTTTTTTTTTTTTTTTGTGGTATGTACCTTTTTGTGTCAGGTGACGATGACCCAGATGGAAAACCGAGTGAAGGTTAGTTCAGCCATAATCTCCTACAGTTAAAATTAAAACGCTGTCGGGATGGCTTGGTGGTAACACTTGCCGCATTCTTTTTCTATACAAGGTCAAACTCGGATATAATGGGTGATGACCGAGATTCAGGGAACCAGTCAGAAGGCTAGAAATTCTTTTACCCGAGGTTGAAAATGATATATGCGTTAAATGGTTAGATAATAACACGTCATTCAAACGTTACGTGCAATGGATGAAAGTACGAAACATCTCGGTCTTAAACATATCTTTCCCACATCAAGTTATTTTGATCGTGTTTCAAGTTTCCAAACTTCGTATCAAAGTTTTTCTCATCCTTAGGGGAAAAGGCTTTACAGAGACTAATAGACAGCAACCAATGCTGGAATGTTGATAATATCAAGGATGTTGTCACTGCCAAGCATTTGTGCTCTTGCAGAGATCCCATTACGATGGCTTTTAAGGTAATAACAATAACAATAACCTACAGATCGGATATATTTAAGTCAAATAATAACAATAACTTTAGTAATTTTACCGCATTAATCCCTATACATCTTTAATTTCTTGCCTTCAGCTTGCTTTTCTGGTGGCAAGCAAACTTCAGATGAAGCCGGGAAGAACCCTGGGGTACCAGAGCTGTGTTCGGGACCATTAGAGACACATCTGCGGGTTATGCGTTTTAAACTCGTGTACCCCAGCCTGGTAAAGATCAAAGCATTACTAATCATTACCTTTGACTCTAGAGCAAAAATTACTTTAATCTATCAGTTGCGCAAACGCTATCTTTTACATTCAAGGTTTCGCCCTAGGAATATTGCTGACAACAGACCAATTTCGACATCTTAAAAATCAGCCTAAAACAATAGACATCAGCACGAGGCTCCGGGGAATAAACCCCACAAACTCTAAAGTTATTACCCGGAGCCTCGTGCTGAGGTTTATTGTTTTAGACTGAATTTTAATATATCGAAATTAGTCTATTGATAAAATAAGATTTTTTTTTCGTTAAACATAAATTAGTCTAATTGTGTTTTTTTTTTATAACAAATGATCCAAGGTAAACCGCACGCTTCTGAAGCTAGCTCATACTTACACAGAGAACACTGAGTTCTTAAAAAGGCTTGCAGACCAGACTGAAGAATTCGCTGTACAGCTTATTGACCAGGTGACTGCCAAAGAGCAGCTGGTTATGGGGGACCTGCCTGAACACGTTGATCGCTATGCTTCAATGCTTACTGACATGGCTGATGATGCAATTATCCACTCCCAGAAAAAGGTAATAAGTTAAGAAGACTCCATAACTTAGCATTACTTTCAAAAATTTTCCGACGATTTTAAGTTCGGACAAAAAGCGTCCGAAAATAAAACCGTCCGAAATATCTATAATTACAGTATAGTATAAAACTTTGAAGTAGCTCCAAAGCTCTTAGTTTCCTTTATGGAGCGAACTCTTGTTGAGACACTGCTTGAGATACATAACGGCTTGATAGAATTTGTGTTATTTGTGTTTTGCAGGAGTAAATTTACTTTGGCTATGTTTCAGCTAAGTGTCCGAAATTGCTGTGCGAATTTGTCCGAAATGAGATAATTAAACCTCCGAAATTTTAACGTCCAAAGTTTTCTGCAAGTAATGAATAGTCCTCTTACTCTCTTCTCCTAACCTTGAACAATTTTTCTTGACGACCATTGTACCACAGTCAGTTACGAATGATTGTATTGTATTGCTATATTTAACAATCCAATATTACTGGCAGTATTTCAAAAGCTTGCTTTCAAAATTTCCAGAACACTTAGAAACGAATCACTTAACAGCAACTTAAAATCGTAGGATAAAATGTGAGCTGACGTTTGGTTTGCCATAATTGCAGGACAAATCTAGACTAATCTAGGCTACGTCGACCTGACGCTACTGCGAACATCACCAATTAGGTGACACCATAATCGTATTTTTATTGCATAATTTTACCAAGATAACATTGAATCAGATCTAGCGTTCACTGTGCTCTTTCATTTTTCCCCATTTCGACCCAAAATTCCTCAAATTCTAATTCCAATTTCAATTCCAATTCCAATTGCTCTAAGTACAAGGTAAGTGAAAACTAGAGTAAACATTCAGATAAGAAGATCTAATTTGAAAACGGTCACAATCAGCAAAGGGAAGAATTCAAGTCATTCATCTCTATGTATCTTTATTTGTGATCCTTGCCTACAGTTTGTTGCGCATCCGTTATTATACAAGACGCTCAAGATGAGGTGGAACCTTGGTTTGCCTGATGCTTTAAAACCCCATGGGAAGTTTCGAAGACTTCTGTTTCTACTGATTCTGATAGACACAGTTTTGACTCCACTTCTGCTTCCAATCATTGCATATGCCTCCTACAGGGACCAAAAGAAGGTATCCAGATACTTATGGTCTAAAACAGAAGAAGTCAGTACTCGTTCTAATTCTGCTTTCGTTTTTTGTCAGATGCGCAAGGTTTTGGATAGTACAAAGGAGAGCAATGAACGTGGACACTTGACTGATGCAAGATCAGTGCAGGATAAGTTAGGTATAGCTTGGATTTAACCTCTTCGTAAGTTTTAATAACTGTGTAACTGACCGCCGGCCAACCAGCCAATTGATCGGCCAGAGGACCGAATGACTAATTAACACAAGAGATTAACAAAGCACTTACCTTGATAATCTCTTGCCAGACAATATAATAATACACAAACCCAAATAAATATGCTTGCCTTCACATTTAGCATTCAGTCGCCAAACAGGTTAAATTAGAAATGGAAAACAGAAAAAGTAGTTGAGCAGAAAACAAAACATAATACAAAAAAGGATTATCTACACTGCTAGGTAGATTATACTGTAAATGCTTAATGAAAAGAACCATAAATAATTTGTACTTCAAGCACTTCTTACGACATGAAAAGTTAGTTTTATTTCTGTCTCGGAGTAAAACTGGCCGGGGAAAAGAATCCTTCTACTTACAGGGACACATAAAAGAATAATTGTAAGAAATACTATTTGCGCGAAACCAAATGCATGAAAAAGCACACGGCAGTTGGTGGAAAGATTGTTATAAGTTGAGAGATTAGCACATAGTCATCTCAACAGTGCAATGCATTAAGGAGAGAGATTAATATCAACGCTTCGTGGTGTCTTTTTATTATTATCATCATTATCATTATCATCATTATCATTATTATTATTATTATTATTATTATTATTCAACAGACAAATACCTCAGTTTCTTTAACACGCCTCTGGTCTTATTCCTCAAAGACAAGCTCAGTCAGGTGGCTTTCATTGCCTTTCACGTTCGTGTTTGCATCCTGGCTTCTACTGTTTATCCAAGGTTCGAGGAATACTTGATATTTCTTTTCTTCGCTGGAGTGGTCCTTAGCGAGCGGCAACAATATACAGCATCACCGTTTAAATACTTCAAGTAAGATATGCCAATTTATTTTGAATATTGCAAGCTGGTTACCATTGTCTTTCTTTCCTAGGACATACATCAGCTTGTATTTATGAAACCAAAATAATTTGAAATATACAGGAAATAATACTAAGTTTTTAGTCCATTTATTGTCACACTGTCTTCCTCAATTAAAAGTGCCGACACAGTGAGAGAACGAGTGCAGAAACATTTTCGAGAATTAGTTCCGTTCGGAATGTAAATGTAGGATAAATCGTGAAATTCCTATTCTCTTGCACTTTGACGTTTTCTCTCGATTGAAATTAATCATATCAATATTTGTTCTACCAATGACATTTGACGAGTTTCTTCGCTCTCCTTTTTGTGAAGGTGAATTTTGTCATAACATGTTACGATTTATGCTTCTCAAACTCATTAATAATTCATCAAGTTTTGAAAAAGGCCGTCATGAATAAATGATTAGCATACATTTTCAGGATTTTATTTCTCCGTTTTCTCATTATTTTAAGCTTCGACTGAGGAGATTTGGGCCAGAAAAATTAATGACTGAGGCAACCTGGATGGTTTTAAAAATTCTCTTCCTAGGTATTTAGGGTGTTTTTGATGACTATAAGCAACAAAAGCGAAAAATGGCCAAGGCAGGTACCTCGGTTTGCCTGTTACTAGCCACAGCCCTGAGGATATATCAAACATTCGCGACCCTTTTAGACCACATTTCAAAATACCCCAAAGTTCGTCAAAACACTCCGCTACCTGTCCTTTTTCTCTTGTCGGTCCAAACATGATCTTTCGTGTTTATAAATTAGTATATTACGTCTTGATCACTTGTTACAAAGAAATGACCATACTTATTTATTAACTATTTTTAGACTCGACCAAATTAATTTCACAGATATGATAGTGAAGTATTTTTAGCTTCTCAAACACTTTTACATGAGCCGCCGGCTCGGAGGACTGGGTAACCACCCCCTGTAAATATGACGTTAAATGAATTATCTTATCTAATCCTATCTTATCTTATCCTATGGTGTAATTGATCACCACAAGAGCCGGAGGACATCCGGAGTAAGCTGCAGATCACAATTTGTGAAATTGAAAATATGGGGATCCTATTATCTAGACTCAACCGGAGGTTAAGAATTAACTAAACAAACAATTTAGTACTACGTCAATTTTTTTAATGTACATTTCATTCACAATAGTTGTACCTTTGCAGGGACATGTGGAATTACCTTGATGTTATTACCCTTCTTATCTACGTCCTGATCGTGATCCTGCGTGTAGTGGCCATTGCGCGTGGTGGTGACCCTTACCATAATCGTTTGCTGGAATTTGCCCACTACTTCTATGGTGTCAACACGATGCTCTTGGTCTTGCGCTTCTCCAGTGTCTTAGAGCTCAGTTCAGTCGTAGGTCCTTTACAACTGGCATTGTTTCGAATGCTTATTGACCTCCTGATTATTCTTGTACAGTTTTTCTTCGTAATGATAGCCTTCTCGTTGGTCATTACAAAGTGCTACATGGCAGAAATGTCATACATGACTTCAACTAATAACCAAACAGAAGTCGTGGCCAAATACAATGTGTGAGTTTTCTATTTATTCTATTATATACTCTTTTTACTATTTTATAAATATGTATTATTATTATTGTTATTATTATTATTCTTATTCTTATTCTTATTATTATTTTATTCTTATTCTTATTATTATTTTATTCTTCTTATTATTATTATATTATTACTATTATTAGTATTAGTATTAGTATTATTTGATTCAGGGATAGAGTAAGATCGTGAGATATTTTTGACGTTAATATTCTAGTTCGACGCTAGGGCGTGTTCGATACTTTTTTAGCCACGCGGTACTTGTTTGCATCCTTTTTCTTTAGTGCCTTATGCAGGTTGACCATCCTTTTTAATCCTTTCACCCTTCTTTTTTGAGGCAGCCACCCAATTTTCTGCACTGTTCGGCTTACCCAAGTCTAAATTGCCTACAGAGTATACTATGAATATTTTATAAGACAAAAAAAACATACATGAGGCGGAAACGGATTCAGCATAAAACACACAAAACACGTTAATTTTGTTTGTACCTATGTTTCCATTTTTGTAATCTGTAGAGTTGTATCGCGATTTTAGTTTAATGTCGTTGACGCCGCTCTTTCTTTCAGCTGCCCCGAAGGGGAGACTCTCACGTTCAGCTGCCCCGAGGGGACACTCTCATGTTCAGCTGCCCTGAGGGGGGACTCTCATGTTCAGCTGCCCTGAGGGGGGACTCTCATGTTCAACTGCCCTGAGGGGGGACTCTCATGTTCAGCTGCCCCGAGGGAGGACTCTCATGTAAAAAGGACGGGGAGCTCGTCGTTCCTTATAGGGGTTAAAAAAAGTGGTGGTGGTATCTCTTAGAATGTTCAGCCCCAAGAGATCCACAGCGGGAGCTTTTGCGGTACCTTTAAGGGCATTGAGCCGAAAAAATATGACAGGAGATAACATTTTGATTTAGAAGTAGTACCTCTTATGGGTGAGAAAAATTTCAAGCCACGCCCACAAAACAGGATCTTGATACCTCTAAGGGGTTCTTTTCATGATTTTCGACGAGCACCCCGGTCCTTTTTATAGGAGATTCCCCTTACCGGTTCAACTGCACCTCTCACTAGCACTAAAACAACAATTTCATTGTTTTCTAATGGTACTTTCTTATTCTTTGGCTTTTTCTTGTAAGGTATTGCGAACAAGGAGCCATCCATTGGTAAGTTTATGTAATTTTCCACAACTTCGGTGTAACTTTGGCAAAGAGTTGCAAATATGAAGATACACACAAGGAAATTTAACTAACAATGACGGTCACCCCGAGGTCAACGCCGATTAAACATTGATTTATATCTCACCTACGAATCTCTCGAAACTCTTTCGAAAGTCAACTAGTTTGTTTCTCTTTGCCAATACTATGTCGAAACTGAATATGGAAAGCAGCGTTAAATTCGAGCAAGAAAATTTACAAAAAATAGCCGTCGCGGTTCACGTTCTCCAGATAACCCAGAATTATATTTGGTCATTTCACGTTATTGCTGCAAGGTGCTTTGAAATCAGGGCAGCTTTCTATTTATTAGTCTGCTCGAAATTCCATGTAGTGATTTGTAGCCTTAATTAGGGTAAATTGTCTCCAAACATTGCATATCCTGATATATATGTCTATGATCGCCACATTCTTAAACATAAGAGTATTCCTCGCAGCCTTAAATCATTCATTTTTAACGAGTGACAGCGTGGTGAGAGGGAGTTATAGGAGTGGTCAGATTATGTAAACGAACAGGTGGTCGGTTGATTATATTGGGAATTTCCTAGTTGCCCAACTCTCTGTGACACGATTAGAGTAACACAAAATAACCACACTATATTGTCCCCGTATACGTTGAAAAATTACAGCAATAGATCGATTCACCCACGTATTCGTGTGCCGGAAACGATGTAATGACATGATTCAAAATTCAAGAGATAAAGGTCACTGAAGGCCTCTTCATATGAGCCCGGTCAACCGGGCTGGCTCGGTTTCCGAGATCTCACCTCGTCCCTCTTTCCTTCGTAAAATTTTCGATGTGTTCATATGATAAGACGGGCTGGCCCGGTTACCGAGATCTCGGTTTTTGCGACCGAGATCTCGGTAACCGGGATGAAAATTTTCCCATATGAACACTCCAGCCCAGGTAACCGGGACGAAACTTTTTAGACAAAATAGCTTCACTTTCGCAACATAGCGGCCAAAATGGCATATTTTTTGTCTTGAATGTATTCCATTTTAGGAGTATGCGAATTAGTTTATTAGTAAAGTTACAAGAGTTCACAAAGCCACGACAGTCGCGAACGATGCAAGTTTATATTCCACCATTTTGGTTGTTTTTCTTGGATTTCTTCCCGGTCAACCGGACTGAAATTTCCCATATGAACAGACCACAAAATTGGTCCCGGTAACCGAGCCAGCCCGGTTACCGAGCTCATATGAAGAGGCCCTGAGCAACAAATGAAAAACAAAGTAACAAGTTCAGTTCATTGGCGTGACGTTGTCACGCAATCACAGAACGTTCTCCACAGTCGTTCATCCGTAAACTATACGCTAACGCGATGAACTGATCCTTCGAGTTTGGAGTCGAACAAGTCTTCCAAATTTAAGACCATTTGGTATTCAACAAAGGTGGGTGTGTAATTGGATCCATCGGTGGCTTTCACAACTTTAACGGAGGCGTTGCCAAAATTCACCTGCGAAGGTTTCACGCTCGAAAAGTGTATTAAGAGACCCTCAGAGAGAGATATAGCTGCTCATACATTATTCTACTTATAATCCTGACCCAGGCCTTAATAGGCGATTTACATGATGGCGTCATTTGACTATAACTACAAGAATCCTTCACTTTTTCTGTTTCTTATGCTTATCAGGGCAATTGTTATTTAAACCCCACTGGGAATTCAAAACTTAAATAATAAAGAAAAAACGACAGGAACTCTGGTAGTTGTGGTCAAATGACTACAACGTGCAAATCTGCTATTGCTTGCGAAACTGAACAGGGTCCCTGGGGGCGAGAACTTCGACGCGAACTGTTGCTTTCCATGGCAACGGTAACACTTTCAAAGTAAATATGCAATTTTCCAAATCCCGGAACTAATCCAGTCCCATTTCGCAGATTTACGAAAATTTCATCTTTTTCACGGCGAGATGGTACACTGTAGTTTCTTGAGGGAGCCGGATTTAAACAGAAGATCGTAAATGTCTTACTCGCTCGATGAAAGGTCGTCACTTCTCAAGTTACCGCAGGCTTCCAGCATTAGAAAGGAACTAGCAAAAAGAATGTCTGCGTAAGAACCATCTACTTCTTCACATACTAGCGGAGCTCCGGCGGCCCGAACAAGCGGAGCCCCATACCCATATAGGAAAGAAAAGGAAACCCATGAATTGGAATTGATTTTCTCATGGTTATCATGGCCCGCTGCATTGCTCGTGGGCGCGAACGCACGCCGGCGACGACGGAGTCGCCCAAGATGGCCTCCATACTCCAGCTAATAGGTTGACAGAGACTGGCAGCCTTGGTTTTTAGCTTCCTTCTTTAGTATTGGATATCCATGATATGTGTAGTTTGAGATTACACAAACTTAAAACAGAAGGCCAAACAATGTACAGAAAACCTCACCGCAAAGTTCCAAAACTCAGATCAAAATTGTTGCTTATCCTGGGTTAGTTTAATCGGGCTTTGAACAACCGGCTCCGGAGCTCCGTTTTTAGGCCTGGGTAAATCTGTGTATTATATACTAAATAGCTTCTTGCAGATAAGGTCATTAAATCGACGTTAATGTCCGAATACTTGATGAAAGGCCATGATGGTATTCGTTGAGGTCTCTCGCAAAATTTCGCTGGGTCCAAAGTTCGCTGCCTTGATCGGGAAGTGCGCTGTGATTTGGTTCAGTAAACAACCCTCTGATTCAGCAGACGTTCGTGGGTGAAGAAGATTGCGTGACGAGCCCAAAGCCGGTCAACGTAGGAGGCTAATTTTTCAGTAAAACACTCGTGCCTATGTTATAATTAACAATTGGACTACGAGCCCGAGTTTTCTATGAGTGAATACTCAACGAGGCGAACCAATCAGATTAGCGGATTTGCAATAGAAAGCAGCTGATTGACTTCTAAATAATGCGCCGTTCTTTATTTAATCAATTGTCCGCAATCCCAGCTTCAAGATGAACGGGACAAAGGATTTATCACTATTAATGGAGGATTTATAGAGATCAATTACTCATTTCAATTGTCTCGTTAACATTTTACGTTTAAACTATTAATTACATACTCTTCCTTCAAATACTAGCAAATCTCAGTCACATTTTCCTTTTTGTTACCTCTAGCTTGTACAAGACTTCCAGGCAGGTCATGTGGTCGGTGTTTGGTCTAACAAACTTAAAGCAATTGGAATCTCATACTAGTCTCACCTCTGAAATTGTGGCAGTTTTATATTTGATATTCTTGATTTTGTCCGTTATCATGTTGGTCAACATTCTGGTGGCTTTACTCAACAACACATACACCAATGTCACGGTAGGATAATCTCGTATATATATAAATATAGTAAGAAAAATTTTCCATTGGTGCAAGCGTTTCCAAGGTTACTATGCCTGAAACTGCCACATCGTCTTAATCATGGCAGCTGTAAATGTGGACAGAAATCGAAGACAACATGGTGGCTAAGCATGCGCGCAAAAGACAAATTACGGAGTTAAAATATGGCGGCTTTACAAGGCTTTCTATGGGAAAATTTTGAAAACATAGTAATAATGTGCAGGTGTATAATCAAAATGCCCACGTCTGAAATGTACATGAAGAGTATCAAGATTACCCACCTTCGTTCTAAAACTCTTGAGAACTCGTTACGCGACGTAGTCGCCAGTTGCAACTGACAACGTTCGCCGGGCGATCTGTCCCAGTGGGTCCCCGGCGCATCTACGATGGATCGCCGACGTACCCAAATTTGCACGAAATGCAAATCGAATTGAGCAATTTTCAACCATTTTGCCTGTGAATATGGATCGAATCGTCTCACTGGAGTACGTTGCATCCGCAGATATGTTTACATGAAATATTTTCATCGTCGCCAACCGGCGACAATCACCGACTTGCTGGCGAAGTTGAACTCAGCTCAAACTTCGCAGGCAAACCGGCGGTCAATGCCTGGGATAGATTATGATTCGCCAATAAATGTTCACATATGCCGTAACGGTACCCCAGTCGGCGGCATATGAGAACCAAGCTTTTTGTAGAGAATGCCGCTATTAAGCAGCTACCGAGGGCTCAAAGATTATCAGAGTTTGCATGGCATGCATAGGGGGAATATAATTTGATTTGAAAAACAAAACAGAAAGTTGACCTTCCTCAATCATTATACTCATAACTCGAAAGTTTCGTGAACATGAGGTAAACGCGAGAAAAAAAATGTTTAACAGAGTCAGTGCCACGACAAAAAATATTAGAGTTTAGACTTGGATTTAGCTCTCACGTACTAATGTGAATTACCGTCTCATTACCCTCTTCTTTTTTCCTAGGCCAATGCAGAAGTCGAGTGGAAATATTCCCGGGCTGTTGCTGAAAATCAATACAGGAATCTTCATTGCATTGTTGTGCCGTTCAACTTGTTGTCTGTTCCACTCAAATTATGGTACTTCAAAACCAACGGTAACCGCAACTCTCGCAAAGAGGTGAGAAGAAATTTCTCTTTCTGATTGAACAGTTGTTTGTTTAGGTATGTATTAAAACCCGAAACAACGAAACGAAACCACCGAAACGAGCGAAACGAGCGAAACGAAACCACCGAAACGAAACGACCGAAACGAGTAAAATAATAAGTAAATAAATGAAAAAGTTAAAAAAAAAAAA